TTATTTTCAGTTTATAATTTTTGACTAAGACATGTCTTTGAGAGTAATTGTTTATGTATCAGTCTTTTACTCTCCTTCTAAATTGCGACACTAGATTTCCTAAAGTCGCTTCTGTATTTTCTTTATATATATTAAATATAATTTTTGTTTAGTCTAAAATTAAAAAAAATCATGCTAATTAAAATAATTTGCAACATCAAGCTTCGAAAAATCCATTTCTATAATAAAGAAAACTTACCAATATATGTATTTGTGATACGATTCAAAAATTAATTGTGAATAGCTGTCGAGTATTTGCATTTGGTGTGAATTTAATTTCTGTTCATAAAAGTATTTAACATTTATGATCCACATGCCTACTTTATCTTAAAATATTCTGTGAAGTTGAATTTTAAAATATAGTAATTTTTATTTACAATAAGCAAATTAAGATGGAGTAGGTAATAATTAAGAGATTAAAATCAGTTGTAACAAAATTGTGCTATTTCAAAAAGCCAACCATTTATACCTATAAAGTTTATGTACCAAAGGGACTAAACTCATAAGTCAAAAATAAACTGACAACGCTATTGCTAAAAAAGAAAAAGACAAACAGACAAACAACAGTACAAAAAACACAACACAGAAAACTAAAGACTGACCTACACGAACCCCACCAACAACTAGGGGTGATCATTACCATTAATCTACACAATGTATCGATACATACAGTCCCGAGGAATCGTAACAAGGCAATGTATCGATACATACAGTCCCGAGGAATCGTAACAAGGTAATGTATCGATACATACAGTCCCGAGGAATCGTAACAAGGCATCAAACCACTGTTTTGCATTAAACTGAACACAATGGCTTAGTTTTCACAAACACAATAAATCAATGAAATCCTGGAAATGTTTTATTCACTTTCGTTTCATTTGAATTATATCTGAAAAACATCCTAAAGCTTTAAATGAACTAGCATATTTTTTACTAGTGAACTTTCTATGACGCGAAAACGCGAGAACGCGAAATGGCCTTAACCGGCAACCATAATAACTGGAATAATTTGAGTAACACAAACCTCCAAATGGGGAATATATGTGCTACACAAAAATTAGCTGAATGAATAGGATATAACATATGTCAATCATGTATAAGACCAAGATGGCAGTATTTTCAACCTTAATTTATGTACAGAACACCAACTTGTCTATATGTATGAGGCAACAGTAGTATATTGATGTTCAAAACTCGTAAATCCATTATTTGATATACAAATCCAATGGAACGAAAACGGGTGCGTCGCGACAGGGTAAGCGTCTTCAGCTATGCACGAATCAGAGTCATGCGAATCCAGATTCAGTAAAACTATCTATCACAATAGAGAAAAGGAGACAATCGGCAATTTCAAATCAGGCGACTATTGTGTCATCTGAAGATTATAGACCTCGAAAAATACCAATTGTGAATTGAGACACGGACACGTTGTATCATTCAATTAATTTGTACTACTTTTTATTATTTTCTGTTATACAGATATTTTTAAGCAGTGTATATGTGCCGCAACACTATTCTTTCCTTCCTATAAGAAAAGGAAGACCTGTCATATAAGTTGGTTCCAAGTTAAGGGCACACAAATAGTTAAAAGGGTGGTCCATACCAAAAGCGAGAATTTGTTCGAAAAAAGAAATGGACAATAATATACCCAAAATCACAGGAAAAGGTCTTGATTTACATTTATAACTTATATTCCCTTTTCACATTAGAGGGTATTGATGTAACCAATATCATGATTAGAACATACATTGCTTACCATGCAGTACCACTCTTGTGGAACATGCCTTATTGACTATTGAAAGTAAAGTCCTTACGTAGGTCTTCCATAATCAACGTACATGAATTGTTTATTTGATGACAATGTGTTGTATCTTTTTTTTCAATTATATAGTCATATTTTTTATTTTTTGTTGCTTTATTTTTATAAAATTATCGAGAAAATTTTAATCATATGTAGTCATTTTAAGAATTTTCCAAGAAAAAGATAAATATTGAATTCTTAGAAATTTCAGTTTTGGTTTTGATTACGTTTCGATACAATCAAAGTGGTATTTTTAAGCCAGAAGTAATATAAGTTAATGTGGACATTGAATTCAAGAACAAAAATGAAGTCTTTATGATTTTAGATGTTATACTACTCCGTTCCTGATTGAAATCAAATCCTGATTGAAATCAAATGGCGATCTACAGAGGAAGTTGCGAAAAATTTCCTCTACTTTAGAAATGTGACATCTGATGGAAATTCAAACCAAGACATAACGTGACATAAAACGGTAATTCACGGGCAAATATTCCATTTGACTTTTGGATTGTCATGTGGCTACACATATTGCTTCGAAAATTTAAAACTCAGCGTCATCGAAATATTTGTTTGTTAGTGATCATTTCTTTTTAAATGAAAACAAGAAGATATAAAAGAGAGACGAAGGATACCAAAGGGACATTCAAACTCATAAGTCGAAAATAAACTCACAGCGCCATAGCTTAAAACGAAGGACAAACAGACAAACAACAGTACACGATCATAATTGAGTCCAGTTGATAGCAAAAATACATGGTCTAGAGGTCACCACCTTACTTCTTTCCTCTAACACACTTTCTATATTGCAAGTCTTTAATCCCCTAGTTTGGACATTTTGTGAAAAAAGGTTTAACAAAAATACCGAACTCCGAGGCAAATTCAAAAAGGGGAAGTCTATAAATACTGACAAAATCAAACGCTATCAATCAACGGAGTAAGTGAAAAAACAGCTGTCATATTCCTGACTTGGTATAGGCATTTTCCGAAGAAAATGGTGGGTTAGACCTGGTTTTATAGTTAGCTGAACCTCACACTTATATGACAGGTGTTTACTTGGAACATTATAATAACAAAATTGTGTAAGCAACCCAAACAGACATTATAGGTTAATGTGACAATAATTTGGATGCAGCAGCCAAAAATTAAACAAAAACTAGAATTTTGATAGGATCTGAAATTAACAGTCAGCGAAAATCATTGACTTGAATCCGGACTTTGACAGGCGCATAAACCTATGGTATGCTGGTTTTGCACACTCTTCGTGTTTATTTTAAACGCAGCTTTAAATGAAAATTCAGGACCAAGAATGAATTTAGAAAGATTTGACTATTTTTAATAACTAAACTTATAACTTTTACGGTTTTTAATCCGGTGACATGATTTTCGGAAAAGCTGAAAAGACAGATCATCACAATAAGAAAATACAAGATTTCAGGATTTTGATATCAAGTAGATTGTTAAAAGCAAAGCATGAACTTTTCTATGTCATCTTATGATAAAAGCAATATTGCTTATAGAAATTATATTTCAAATATATATAACCTCCCCAAGGTTACAAAATATTCTGAGGCCGATACATCTAATATTGCAAACCCGCCCTTTTTTATTATTTTGTTTGTTGCAGATTACTAAATATTCTTCATACCAAACTTAGGCATAGATGCAGTTCATTGAATGCCGATCAATACAGTTTTAATTATGTGAACTATCCAGGTTATGTGCGGGTGAGTTACTGAAATTTCAATACATTATTTTCTTGACGCTTTTTATATACAAAGGCACGCGAACACTTGAAAATTAGTCTAAATTTCATAAGAAATTAGAAAAAAAAATGAAACTAAACTTTTTGGCGATGATGCTTTATCTGAAGATTTTAATATTAAAATATTCAAATCGGTTCATTTTTAAAATTTTTATCTTTATTTTTATCTAATTTTTTCCCCATCACCCCTATCTCTGTTTGATCTATTTCCTTTTTGATTGTTATTTCCTTTTCTGATCGTTATTTCCTTTTGATTGTCATTTTTTCTTTCTTTTTTTTTAATCTATGTCTGTAATATATTTCAGTAGACAACTCCTACATGAAGTGTAATTGTTCATTTCCTTTTTGTTTTATACAATTGATTTTGTTTGCTTTTACACTTATGATATTTCTTTATATATTTATAGCTGTCAGGTGCATGTGTATTATAATATGAAAATAAAGAGATATGTATGTTTGTTTATTAACTGAACAGAACCTATTTAAGTTTGAATAACTTGTGTCCGACTCTTTTGTTCATTTCGCAATAAAATGTTTAATCTATATATATATATATATACGCATAAAAAGTGTACAAAACAACACCAATATTTAGAAAAGGAAACACTAAATATAAGTATCTATAAATATTTCGGATTTCGGATTATATGTATATATAGTGGATTTGTAAAATATTCCTGAAATATTCAGAGATTTTGATCATCACTAGCAGGTTTATCAATCTTTTTTTAAATTCTGAAATAGTTTGGAAATTATGAGATCACTGAAAATATCGGAATAATTAAAAAAAAAAAGAAAACCCTGTTGAAATTAGTCGTCATAATATTGATTTTATAAACTCTCTAATCAATTCAGTCATTATAGAAAACTGAAATTTCAGGAATTTAACAAAATCATTAATGGCACAAATTCACTGTAACATGTACACCCTTTGTTACAATTACAATTATAAATGAATTATCAAGTTACATTGTTTGTGATATTCACCAGAAAATGCTAAAATCACCAAAGAACAATTCAAAAACAACAATTTATCAAAGACGTTAAATCAAATTTATAAAAAAATAGAAAATTAAAATCAAGAGTTCAATAAAAAATAATGCAATGAAATAAAAATGAGTTCTAACGTTTTTCCAAACTTCTTATGGTAAATATCTCTCTTCTTAAAGTTAAAACAAGCAAGCTTTAAAATTTATTGTAAAGAGTTGATACACATTTCTCAGAAATAATTCATTATTTTAAACAATACGTAGATTACCGAATGATTTCCATAATTATTTACTTTTGAGATTCTGAATGCTTTCAATTGTGAGATATATTCGAAATAAATTTGTTTTTATTTCATTCTTAACATAGTTCTGATTGACCAGTTGATTATCGTTGGTCTATAATATTTCATGCATATCAAGGACTATACATTATAATTATAAACGATTGATCGATCAGTTATGGTTGGCAATTGTGCCAACTTGGATGAAGGGCAGAAATTTACACTGCGACTTTAAAAAGATGGTCTTTTGGATAGAAGCAGAAATTTTTCTAAAGGTCGCCTAAGGACCCCTCAACAGTATACTTTTGTACTTATATGCACGGCATAATAACATATATGGCATGTTGGATGCTATGGGACCTTGTATATCTAATGTAAAAGAACATGAGAAAAGTTTGAAGACACCAAGGGATAATAGAGCAAGCAGAAATCCTTCCTGGAAGGAGGGCGGACAACACAATAGCAAAAAGAAACAAGTAGAAGAAATAATAATCATAAAACACATTAAAACTAAAGAGTGGGCGAAGACACTACAGGACCTTAACCGCAAATTCTTTGTTTATGGAACATTCGAATTGAGAGTTGAATATATTCAGTTTATACGAAAAGATTGAAACAATATATGCATTGTATTGACCACAGGATAAGAACATGTTTTACTACCTTAATATATAGCAAGGATAAAACGAGGACAAAATAAGATGTAGATTATATGTCTATCATATCTATAAGACACAAATCAAACGAAAAAAAAATGTCGGTCGAAAGTCAGTCTTCGAACAAATGGGGTCAAATGAACAGGAAACAATACCTAGAAACTTTTTATGGCATCGAACAAAGCATGTCTCACTCCTTCCAAAACAGTCTAAGATAGCAGCCATCTATATCAGGAATCAGGAAAATGTAATAAAATCCTTACTAGTAGGAACATAAGGAGAATGATATGATTGCCAGTGAGACAACCATTCGCCAGAGTAAAAATGACGTTGATGCAAGCATCTATAGGACACCGCGCGGCCTCCAACCATGAACAAAACACAGACTGTATACCGAAAATCAGGCATTAGTTATGAAAGAACTAAACCAGAAAAACCAACGGGCTGATCGATGAAAAGGAATAAACGAAAGACAAATATGACAGACAGCAACAGCCACGGAATCACAGGCTCCTAACCCGTATAGACACGCAAAGAATGGGCGGGATCAAACATGTCTGCAAGTACCACTGTTTTATACTGTACCTGTTCATTCGTAAATTCTTGAAAAAAAAAAGTATGAAGACAGTCTAAACTGTGGTGATGTTTTTGGTAAAAGTATTTTATTCAAACTGTTTACCACTTGCATTGAACTCAGAGAAGACAATTAGTTCCTTCCCGTCTGTACAAAAAAATGGAAAACCTAACCAAGAATTACAAAATTCAGACCAATCAATAGGTAATTTTTTTACATATTTGTTTATTTGCCTGTTTGATTGTTGTTTGTTTTGTTGTTGTTGTTGTTATGATTTGGAAATTTTTGTACCTATTTTCATGTTCGATATGTTCAAACAAATTGTATTTTCATTTGGTTATGAAGTTTACCTTTAAAAGAACACTTTTGACCTCTTTACCAAGAAATATGTCAAAATTAAGAAAAAATATCTAACCCAGCATTACAATTTCTAAGAATGGTTTGATTATGAATTCCTAGAATGCATGTGCATAGTTTAAATTAGCATTCAACACTCCCTATTTCTATTTCATTTTATTTATCTGACCAAAAACACCCACAATTATACGAACATATCCGCATTGAAACTTCAAATCTAACTCATTAATTTAATGGGAAAAGGGGTAACTTAATAAGATCTATAAAGATTGACATAAATCCGTTATTGTTTGTGATTATCAGCCAGCAGGTAAGGTATATACCTGCATTTAACATCAAATGTTCTGAACGAAAGAAAATACACTACAAACCTGTTATAGATTGAAATACATCTTGGATCGTCATGGATAGTAATACATTCTATTCTCGTCAATATATTGTTGAAAATTATGCAAGATATCCATTTTTATTCTTCGTTTACCTTCTTTAATATTGACACTAAAATATTGTTAATACCTTTTGACTTTACAATGCTCAAAAGCTTTGTTCATGAAGAGAACACATTTTGTTTTTGAGAGAACCATCGTATCTATTTTAATAAACCACTTATGTAAGGGATCTACAAAAAGACGAACTATCATGTTCGAGCATGTCTTCACTCAAAATATCCCTTATTAAATCAATTTGTTGTAGAAATTTGTAATTGTTCATTTAATACAGCCTATATTTTTCTTATTTATGGCACAACCTCTGATTATAAATTTTAAAGATGACTTACAATTCTAAATTATGGGTATTTCAGATATCCTTTATGGTTATTTTTTTGCAAATCAGATAACTTCAGATTTATTTGTGACTTTATCTTTTTAAAATAGATGAATAAATAAATAGACAAATATGCATTTTTGAAAGTTTAATTATTTATGAACCAAAACAATAACATTTATGATGGAATTTATAATGGAATATTTTTGTTTTATTTTTTTTTCTATTATTATTAAAATTTCAAAGTTTAATTGAAAATTGTTATCAACTTAAATTAGGACTGAAATTTTGCAGTCGTTATTAATGTTATAATGAAAAATTCCACTTTGAAAATCAAATGGATTTTGGGCTTTTTTTGACACATGAAATCAATTACAAGTATTAAAACATGTGTAACGAAATCAAATTCATTGATTATCTTATACCACGTTTTTATGTTTTCATAATATTTGAAAGTCTTTTTATCATTTTCCGTTCAGCACACATTGATAATGTCGCACCAATGAGGAAAAGACATTTATGCAGTTGAAATGGCATGGACGATAAAAGGACTAGAATTGAGCAAATCATTACATGTATCAGATATAAATGCCTTTTGGTAAAAGTATTTTATTCAAACTGTTTACCACTTGCATTGAACTCAGAGAAGACAATTAGTTCCTTACCGTCTGTACAAAAAAATTGGAAAACCTAACCAAGAATTACAAAATTCAGACAAATCAAAAGGTCATTTTTTACATATTTGTTTATTTGCCTGTTTGATTGTTGGTTATTTTGTTGTTGTTGTTGTTATGATTCGGAAATTTTTGTACCTATTTTCATGTTCGATATGTTCAAACAAATTGTATTTTCATTTGGTTATGAAGTTTACCTTTAAAAGAACACTTTTGACCTCTTTACCAAGAAATATGTCAAAATTAAGAAAAAATAGCTAACCCAGCATTACAATTCCTAAGAATGGTTTGATTATGAATTCCTAGAATGCATGTGCATAGTTTAAATTAGCATTCAACACTCCCTATTTCTATTTCTTTTTATTTATCTGTCAAAAAACACTCACAATTATACGAACATATCCGCATTGAAACTTCAAATCTAACACATTAGTTTAATGGGAAAAGGGGTAACTTAATAAGATCTATAAAGATTGACATAAATCCGTTATTGTTTGTGATTACCAGCCAGCAGGTAAGGTATATACCTGCATTTAATATTAAATGTTCTGAACGAAAAGAAAATACACTACAAACCTGTCATAGATTGAAATACATCTTGGATCGTCATGGATAGTAATACATTCTATTCTCGTCAATATATTGTTGAAAATTATGCAAGATATCCATTTTTATTCTTCGTTTACCTTCTTTAATATTGACACTAAAATATTGTTAATAACTTTTGACCTGACAATGCTCAAAGGCTATGCACATGAAGAGAACAGAATTTATTTTTCTGAGAGAACCATCGTATCTATTTAGATAAACCACTTATGTAAGGGGTCTACAAAAAGACGAACTATCATGTTCCAGCATGTCTTCACTCAAAATATCCCTTATTAAATCAATTTGTTGTAGAAATTTGTAATTGTTCATTTAATACAGCCTATATTTTTCTTATTTATGGCACAACCTCTGATTATAAATTTTAAAGATGACTTACAATTCTAAATTATGGGTATTTCAGATATCCTTTATGGTTATTTTTTTGCAAATCAGATAACTTCAGATTTATTTGTGACTTTATCTTTTTAAAATAGATGAATAAATAAATAGACAAATATGCATTTTTGAAAGTTTAATTATTTATGAACCAAAACAATAACATTTATGATGGAATTTATAATGGAATATTTTTGTTTTATTTTTTTTTCTATTATTATTAAAATTTCAAAGTTTAATTGAAAATTGTTAACAACTTAAATTAGGACTGAAATTTTGCAGTGGTTATTGATGTCATAATGAAAAATTCCGCTTTTAAAATCAAATGGATTTTGGGCTTTTTTTGGCACAAAGAATCAACTACAAGTATTAAAACATGTATTACGGAATCAAATTCATTGATTATCTTATACCACGTTTTTATGTTTTCATAGTATTTGAAAGTCTTTTTATCATGATCCGTTCAGCACACATGGATAATGTCGCACCAATGAGGAAAAGACATTTATGCAGTTGAAATGACATAGACGATAAAAGGACTAGAATTGTGCAAATCATAACATGTATCAGATATAAATGCTGACAATACAATTTCCGGACAACTGTAAATTGACCGCTAACTCAATGTTCCTTTTCTGGTTAATTTCTTTAACTTTTAGCGCACATTGAGAAACTGATATAATTTCTGTAAATATTAAAGAAATTTAAAAAATGTTAAGTACAAGAGAAACAAACTTACCAGTACATGTGCACATACCCAGATATAGGTCACATGACTAGACAGGATATATACCCATTTAAATCAGGCGTTCAGTTTATGACATTGCACATAACATTACATAAGAAGACAAACAGAAAGTAGACATACAAGATAATGTATTGCTGCCATTTTTAAAAGCGTGTACCATTGTTTAGATAATTCACAGAAATAGAACATACATTCGCTTACTAGTATTATTTTTGAATGAAAAAAAATGTGGGATAAACTTCAATGAGACACTAGGGGAACGACCATTTAACTTTCATGGGGGTATGGTTATTTTTGTTCATTCTGATTTTTTTTCAAACCACGCAAGCATCAGAAATCTATTTTTAAAAATTATCCCTGATTAAAATATGTTTTTCTTCAGAGCTGGGAAGAAAGAAAAAACCCACCCATTCAGGGTCGTTCCCTAGTTAATCAAATCAGGCATTGATACATTACTATTTAATTTACCCAATGTGATTAATTAAGAAATTTAATGCTACCAACAATTAGATTTGAGAAGAAATGATACTTATCTGCAATTAATACACACTAATATATTACGTATTTGACATAGATACTTTACTGACTTTTTAAAACCAGGTTTAATCCACCATTTTCTACATAAGAAAATGCCTGTACCAAGTCAGGAATATGACAGTTGTTGTCCATTCGTTTGATGTGTTTGTGCTTTTGATTTTGCCATTTGATTAGGGACTTTCCGTTTTGAATTTTCCTCGGAGTTCAGTATTTTTGTGATTTAACTTTTTTCATGCAAGAAAAACCTGTATTGCAAATATCATTTTTGATGAGCTTCAATTGTCATGACATTTTAGGTAAATTCAGATATTTGTGATCCCCATAGGAATGCGGTAAGTTAAACCTTGGTTATTGCTTCCTGTGTTTTGCATCATTTCTATTGATTAACTGAGCTTATTGAAAATGGAATTATTGTTCAGATTTAAACATTTACTAACGACTGCAATATCTTAGCTTGATGCAACAAAAAATTGCCACTTTGATATATTAATTTGAGATATTTTCTTTCAGGTAGTGGTGTATTATCAACGGGAACAAAACCATAAACAGTTTCATGATAAAATTCATTGTTTAAGTAAAACTTTATGTTGCAAATCAAAACAAAATAGTAGTTTATCGATGTTCAAGTGTCATAAACACTAAGAAGGTACAAATCAAGGTATAAAACAAAAAATGAGAAAATTGCGTTAACCAGGTGCATCGGCAGGATAAGTGTCCCCTGCTATGCATGCATAACACACCATGGTAATCCTCACTTAGTTAAAATGTCTAAATCGGGAATAAGACACAATAAGCAGATTTACAGACCAGACGACTATAATGGTATCTAAAGAACGAAGACCGCGAACACATGTCGCTATTGTGTTAAGAAACACATACATCGTATCTGTAAAACAAAATATGATGGTGACCGTAAAACTTATGTAGTGTCTGTTTCAGTCGTTTTTCCTCATAACTTATATGGAGCCGATCTTTCGCCAGAAGCACACCTAAATAGAAATGAAAACTGACTTAAAAGTATCAATTTACGAAGATGCTATCAGAAATCGAATCGAAGGAACACGAACAACACTATTTGCTAAAAAAATAGTTTATTGGTAGTTCTGGTCTATTAAACTTTTTCACAATTTGTCTCGATTTGTGGAATAACAAAAGCTACACTGCAAAACGCAATAATGTAAATCATTTAAGAAAACCACATATCTCGATCATGTTGGCATTTCAGTCGAGAATACAGGTACACATTTAACATAATAAACTGGAAGCTTTGAGTAACCTGTATCGTTATTTACGCACAATATTGACTACTGTACATTTTATAAAGTATGCCAACAGTCGTGAACCATGCCACACACAAGTCTCCTACAAATTTCCTTTTTTCAAAATCACAAAGAACCCAAGAAAATGGTAAACGAAGAACTTCATAATATTATTCTAGCTAAGTCCGACTGTCCAGCAGTTTGAGGAAAAAAAAATAGTTCAACACCAAGAATATCCATTCTTAATGACTGTGGGCAGCAAATAACTTTTACAGACGCTAGAAACTACGTGATGACATATATTCATTACTAGATCATCAGTTGATAATAGCATGCAATACATTATTTCTGCCAATGTTGGTTCCCATTTGATCAGCAGTTTTATAATGGTTTACTTTTATAAATTTTGACTTGGATGGAGAGTTGTCTCATTGGCACTCATACCACATCTTCTTATATCTATTAAATTAAAAAAATCGAAATGTAATTTCTAAACATATTTTCATATTTTGTTGCCACTACTGTTACAATTTGCAAACTGATGAATAGTTAACTAAAATCGAAAATTGTTCGTTTTGTTGAATTTTGTCATAAAAAGAACGATGATACGTAAATTTTGAAACTATTTCTATTTTTTATATAGTCTTTGCTAGAGCCATGATACATTCTGATAAGTGCCATAAATCTTAATTTGAAATTTATGCAATAAATAGGGCAATATTCAGGCCGAATCGAATATACTACAAATTTGGTTTCAATGGGAACTATGTGACACCGTTACCATCCTGTTTGATAACCGATCAGCATTACAAGGTCCTGTGTAGAGGGTTATTTTATCTCAAAAACACCTAAGTTTCAAATACTTTTTCAGAGGAAAAGATTTTTAGAAATAGGTCAATCAGAACCAAAGAATGCCTCTGGTAGAGATGTTTATCATTTGATTCATCCAAATGCGAATTATTTGTAGAAGGCCTTTCATATACCATTCATGTAAAGTTTGGTTAATATTGGCTGAACAAATTTAAAGAGATGAAATAATGATTTTCTATAGAATTTCAATGCAAACTGACTGCCAAATATTAACCGCCATATTTGCCATGCCGGATGAGTTTGTTTTTACTAAAAGTAAGCTAAACGTATTAATTTGCTAATATTGGAACTTACCATTGCCACGGGTGCCACATGTGGAGCAGGATCTACCTACCCTTCCGGAGCAGCCTTTTTGCCATGGGATTGTCAGTTTGTTTTCAACTTATGAGTATGAATGTCCCTTTTATAAATTTTCTCTTTCACTTTCTCAAAGTCTACTATGGACCGCTGTACGAGTTGATTTCGTACTGCGATGTCATAAACAGTGCAAGAAGACACGATTTTGTGCATTGACAAAGTAAACATTTAAGTTCAAACTAAAATAAACGCATAGATGCATATCCCGCACTATATAATAGAAGCAAATAGAAAATCATAATGAAAGAAAGGAAAAATACCAATAGGAAATGGAAAGCCCTTGCGTTTGTCTGAAGATAACCTTGGGAATTTCGAAAAAAAGCGATCAGGTATAACGTTCAAGGCAAAAATTCTGCCCAAGTCGACATAGACAAAACCATATATTTTCAAAAAGACAAAATCAAATTTAAATACAGAATTTTAATTAATTTAAACAAAAGAAGGTTCACTTCCTAACCATGTTTGCTCCGTAAACAGTTTCCGAATATATGCTGGATGTAAAACAAAATATTAATGGCAGTTACTGTCGTACACAGTTACAGAAGTAAAAAAATTGCTAAAGAAACTAGAGGCTCTAAAGAGCCTGTGTCGCTCACCTTGGTCTATGTGCATATTCAACAAAGGACACTCTCCAACACTGTAGACAAGAATAGAATTCATGACAAAAATCTGTTTTGTTGATCTTGTATTGCTGATCATTTAGCCTGTTTAGTTTCTCTCTATCTTCTTTAGTTTTTGCTCAAAACACAAAAGAGGATAAAAAAAATCCTCATTTAAGGGCAATCACTCCTACAAAGAGTCACAGTCTACTTATCTATATCGGCAAAATTTGACTTGTTAGAAGATCTTGACTTGCTGATCATTTTTGTGATTTAAAGTGTATCTTTATCTATTATAATTTTCTATCTTATATGACAAAACGCAAAAAAAGGTGAAAATCGTCTTTAAAGAGCAATAACTCCAATAAGGAGTCGTCTGACCATTTCCTCCATATTGTCTTCATTGTAGATTTTGTTTTGCTGATCATTTTTGCCTAGCTAAGTTTCTATCTGTCTATTAAAGTTTTAAGATATCAGGCAAAAATGCAAAAAAATTGGTCAAAATCATCATCAAAGGGCAATAACTCTAATAAGGAGTCGATTGACGATTTCGACCATGTTGACCTATTTGTAGAACTTGTGTTGCTGATCATCTTAAAGTTTCTCTGAATCTATTATAGTTTTCAAGATTGTAGGCAAAAATGAAAATAATGGTAGAATTTGTCTTTTAAGGGCAATAAATCCTATATAAGAAGTCATCTGACAGTTTTGACATGTATGGACAATTGGTAGAACTCAACATCCTGAACATTTTTGCTCTTATCAGATTTTCTCTCTTTATAATGGTTTTCAAAATAATAGACAACACTTGCATTTTACCCCCTATGTTCTATTTTTAGCCATGTTGGCCATCTTGGTTGGCAGGCGAGGTCATCAGACATATTTTTAAAACTAGATACCACAATGATGATTGTTGCCCAGTGTGAATAAATTCGGCAAAGTAGTTTCAGAGGAGAAGAATTTTGAAAAAAGATTACAAAAATTTACGAAAATTGTTAAAAATTTACTATAAAGGGCAATAACTCCTTAAGGGGTCAATTGACAATTTTGGTCATGTTGACTTATTTGTAGATCTTACTTTGCTGAACATTATTGCCGTTTACAGTTTATCTTTATCTGTAATAATATTCAAGATAATAACCCAAAACTGCAAAATTTCCTTAAAATTACTAATTCAAGGGCAGCAACCCAACAACGGGTTGTCTGATTCGTCTGAAAATTATAAGGCAGATATATCTAAACCTAATGAACATTTTTGCCCTGTTGTATTTGCTCTTAATCTTTAGTTTCAGAGATATAATCCAAAAACTGCATTTTACCCCTATGTTCTATTTTTAGTCATGTCGGCCATGTTGGTTGGCAGGCGGGGTCATCGGACACATTTTTTTAACTAGATACCCTAATGATGATTGTGGCTAAGTTTGGTTGAATTTGTTTATGTGGTTTCAGAGGAGAAGATTTTTGTAAAAGATTAAAAAAAATTTACGAAAAAATTGTTAAAAATTCAATATAAAGGGCAATTACTCCTTAAGGGGTTAATTGACAATTTTGATCGTATTACTTATTTATAGATCTTACTTTGCTGAACATTATTGCTGTTTATAGTTTATCTCTATCTATAATAGTATTCATGATAATAACCAAAAACTGCAAAATTTCCTTTAAATTACCTATTCAGGGGCAGCAACCTAACAACGTGTTGTTTGATTCGTCTGAAAATTTCAGGAGAGATAGATCTTAACCTGATGAACATTTTTACCAGTTGTCAGATTTGTTCAAATTGACTTGTCCAAAAGAAACGAAACCAAACCAACAAAGTGGACAATTAATGATTATGTGAACATACTGTAGGAAAATATTTTAGACACGCTGATTCTATATTTGAATATACATGGAAAAATGATCGAATCCTTTTCCAAGCAAGAATAGAATGATTATAAACAGAAAATGAGGGAATCACACGAACTTCAAAAGGAGTGCGTCGACAGGGTAAGGGCCTCCAGTAAAAATGTCCCAATCGGGGATCGTTAAAATTACAGATAAGACCGCGAAAACATGTCGCTAGTGAGTTGAGACATCGACAAATCGTATCGGTCAACCAATTCGTGATGGTTACCATAAAATTTATGTCGTGTCGATTTTTTAGTCAATCTTCCTCTTAACTCTGTCGGAGCATTTTTTGTCTGAGGAGCACACTTCTATTAATGAAGTCCGTATAGTGCGACCATGCACCAGAATAACGTATAAACTGAGATATGTTAATGACATATTATGGATAAGAGGATATGTTACTGCTGAGAAATGGGAAATTGACACTTAGAAAGTTGAAATTATCACGTTTGTCATAGATTCTAGTTTGAAGTCGTTCATCTGTGTCAATATTGAGGAAAAGATCAAAATATGAAGCAGGAAGATATGATAGTGACAGAACATAATCAATATATCTGAAAGTGAAATTTAAGAACTTTGCAAGATGCCTTTTCTTTTTTATTTAATAGGTTCTTTATGAATTTTGCATCATATACGTACAAAAAAGTCGACCAGCAGTGATCCACAGTTAGTACCCATAGGAATACCGACTGTCTGGTCTGCTGAAGTATCATTCCACCACACTCAAGCAATACGTTGTCGATCAAAACGTCTAGTATTTTTTATGACTTCATCTTCGATGTATTAGTTATTGGAATCAGTGTAAAATACACAAAGTAAGATTTTTTATGACCTAAAACATGTTTGTAGAAACATTTCTCTTTAATTAGATGATGTAGCCGGTTTTTTTTTTCATTTGAGAATGATTAGTAGTGTAAAGCGTAGAACGATTAAAGGTTTTGATATTACTGCAAAAGATTTTGGAGTAGATTAATAGAATTTTAAAAAAAATCACATCGGATTGACACGGCTGGTTGAATATACCTCATCACAATTTTTCTGAAGGCTATCTTTTACCGTGAAAAGAATGGTGATAAGACCGTCAGAAAGATGTTAAGTCGAACATCTTGACGACCAGGCTATATATCGTACTTTGTAAAGACTTGTGTGAAATTTAGGTATTTTGCATAAAGATGGGACTTTTATGTTACTATCAAAGGAGATAAGGACGGATTTGTGATTTTATAAAATCTCCTTTTTCGTGAATAATGCAGGGGTATATTTGGGATTCCCAATTTTGCTCTAAATTTCAAATTCATTAGTGAGGCATTTCAAATGGTTTTTGCATATCAACACAATATTGTTTGAGGCTTTGTCTGCTGGAACAACAACACATTTGTCCTAAAGATAAAGCATCCACAACCCGTCAGCTCACTGTACATAGTAGATTTAGTTCATGTGCTGTGGAATTCGATATATAAGGCATGTGGCTAACGACTCCATTTTAAAAGTTAAAAAAAATAATTAAATTAAAATGTGAGATCTTATGATATAAAATAGAAAGAGAAAATATACAATACGGAATTAAAA